TACTCGAGGTCACACGGCGTGAGAATATGATGCCGACTCGTCGACGCGACGGGTACTGCCGCCGGCGTCAAAAGCTCAGTTGCCGTTGAGAGGATGCGGCCCAATTGATCAATCTTGGGTAGCTCGAGTTGATCTGCGAGTAGAGCGCCGCGTAGCTCGAGCCCGCAAAGAGGTGCGTAAAGTGCGGAATGTGGTGGCGCATGCCGTTCCCTGCCGGCATCTCGAGGTTGGCGAGCTCCGCCTTCTCGAACGCAAGCATGTCGAGGTCATCGACCGAGTCGAGCTGGTGGAGCGTCTGGTCCACCCTACCCAAGATTGATCAATTGGGCCGCATCCTCTCAACGGCAACTGAGCTTTTGACGCCGGCGGCAGTACCCGTCGCGTCGACGAGTCGGCATCATATTCTCACGCCGTGTGACCTCGAGTAGCTTTATCCGACACCGAATAAGCTCAGCCGCCACTGACCAGAGAGCCATCAATGTCAGGAGAATCAGATCGACATACACGAGATCCGATGAGGCGGCTCTTACGGCTACTGGGTTGCAGTGCAGTCGGTGGATCGTTCGACCACTCGCGACATTGCGACCCCTACCCCTGATTCAAACCAGAGAATACGTCGACTTGGCGTTTGTATGGAATCGGATACTCTCGTCCGCAGTGGACACCGCATCACGGTGCGGCCGTCGACACGCGCTTGAAGCAGCAAACCCTCGTTCGATATACAAAAGATGTGGGTTTGTATCACATACTAGAAGCCAGACAACAGAGTTGCAAGCAAGCGCTGGTGGTCATTTCGCATTGCGCCCCGTCCCGAGTCCGTCGCGTCCCACGTCGTCTTCTCGACCATGTTCTTTGGTGGCGAGTCTGCTTCTTTTGAAACCGTACGCATGGCTACCCCAGCGGCCCCAGCGACGTTCGCCGTGATGCGCCGCCGACCCACGGAGGCCGGCGTCATGGCTGCCATCCACGAGTTCATGCGGCGCAAGGCCGACGGCGAAGACGGTGACCTCCTCATCGCCGAAGACGTGCTCCTCCGTCGCTGGCTGGACGGTCGTTTGTCCGGCCTCGCCGTCTTCCGAGCGACGTACGATGGCCACGTCATTACCCAGACGACCCGCGGCGACATTTTCATCACCGAGGTGCCTGGCAAAGTGCACCAGCAGGTGATTATCTGTTTGAACGACGTTGTGCGCGCCGTCTTGGTGGGAACGCCGTTAAATTCTACCATAGACGAGGATTACTACCATGCTGGCCACGTCCGCAGACCCGACCTCGCGATTGGACCGAGACGCGCGATCCGCGGCGACCCCCGCAGCAATTTGCCCCGCTGCATGATCGAGGTCGCCGTCACGCACAACACGTCGTTCAACACGTACGACCCGCACACACGCGCGCTCTTCGACGAGTTTCCAGTGCTCCAGACGGTCCTTGTCCTCGTCCTCTACCCGCTGCGGAACGCGGCGACGCTTGACCCCAACATGAACCCCATCTTGGCGCAGATGCCCGCGCTCGCTGTGCTCTACCGTCGTCTTGGTAGCAACATTGCGATCACGGACGCCATGAGCTGCGGCAACTACGCTCTACACGGGAACGTGTACCTCCCAGGGCACGTGCATGTACGCGACGAGGTCGATGCGATGGCTGCCGAGCTGCCGCACGTCGTCGAGCTCCAGCCGTGGAACCATGGACCTTTCATTACGCTGCTCGGTGACGATCTGTACCGCACCTCAGATGGACACGGCCATATCATTCAGGGCTTGCTCCCCGACTACCCCGTGCATTTGGCAACGACGATCGCCGCAGCGATTCGGACTGGATACGAAGAAGCAACCCCCGTCAACGGTCTCGCCGCACAAGCTGCTGCTGTCCAAGCAGC